ACCTTTGGCGGTTATTCCAGGCCATGCGCCACCCCCTCGTAATTTGCCTCCTAGAAGCAAGGCTGGCAGGGTCAAACGCAGGTTGGGTCACGCGGAAAGGTTGGCTAATGCTTTAGAGAAGATGCAAACGGAACTGGCGGCGAATTGTGCGTTTGTTAGGTTGGAATTGGCAGCGGGGGGCAGGTCAGAATTTGTTGCTTGTCTTAAAACTGAAATTACTGCGCGCTGTGATAGCTGTCCTGGGATTGACTTTGAGGAGTTATGTTGCGATCTAGCTGATGAGCGGGCGAATGAGTTTGATACGGAAGGAGATTTGGTGATGTTCAGGCTGTTGGTTTCCTCTGTGGTGCTACAGATGCAATCGGAAGCGACCATTGGTACGGGTACCGGGCGTACTGGTATTACACCTCGGAAAGTCTCTAGAAAGCAAAACCTCCAGCGTGGTATGTTAAAAAACGGAGGGATGCACAGGCGATTATTGATGGGGCAGTGGCGCCGCGTGTTCGCACGAAGTACTGGAACTTGCGCAATAAGGTTCGTACTACACATGTGGACCAAGGCGATTCTGTCTGTGACTTTCCTGGGTGTGGTAAGCGTTACACGACAAAGGGTGGCCTTTCGCATCACAAACTCATTTCTCATAAGGTAGGTACGTACCGACAGGCGGGTTTCGATTGTTCGCTATGCCCTAGGTCCTTCGAACGAGAGATGTGGCTTACGCGTCATAAAAACTATGACCATGTGTTGGCCAGGCCATTTGTATGCCCCTTTTGTAACGGTTTTTGGCCAGGTGAATCGAGTCTTCGTCTCCACATTGCGGCAGATCATCGCTTCGAAGCAAAAGACTTTCCTGCAGTGTGTCAACTCTGCGTCAATCAGGGCTTGCAAAGTCAGGTATATCGCAGCGTGCACCACTTTAAGTATCACCTGAAGCGCGAACACTTGTAACACTCCTGTTCTTGGTTAGGTCCAAGCTTGTCTGTGCGACTCTTTACATGCGCAGCTGCTTCTTCTCTCGAGCGCTGGGAATGCAATGGCGAACAAGTCCGTGGCTGACCGGCTTGGAGGGGTGGAAGCGGCGCTGCAAAATGTGCAGCAGCTCGCTAACGCGACCGCGAAAGGGGTTGGGAAGGACCGTGCGCTGCGGCAACAGGTCTGCTTCTGCCAGGGTGGGTTCCGCGCCACTGTGGAGGAGGCCTTGCAGAGGTGGCAGGATGGGGCAAAGGAGGTCAAGGCTGAAGGCTCTGCGTCTGCTTCCGCTGCTGCTGCTCCTAGACCGCTCCCGTTCAAGTTTCAGTTCTTCTCGCTCGTGGTGGGCCAGCTGGAGGAACAGGGCATGGATGCTGAGGTCGCGCGAGGACTCAAGGAGCTTCGTCCGGAGGAGACGGTTGAAGCCTTGCAGTTTAAGGAGCCTCCTGAAGATGTCAGCAAAGCCTGGGTCGTGGTTCTGTTGTTTAAGGCTACGTGGAGTGGCATGTCGGCATGGGCCCTTCTCAACAGTCCCCCGATCAAGAAGGTTGTGGCCAAGCGTGATGGGGCGTATCCTCAGTTGGGGTTGCGTCAAGGGAGGTTTGTGCCTGGGCCCATCCAGCGTAGGGTGTTGGAGGACTTGGGTCATACCTCGGAGGAAGTTCGGAGCTGGTTTGCTGGGGGGAAAGGGAGCTCTGGGAAGGGTGGGGGTGGCGAGCGTGGAGCCGGACAGAAACGCGGCGCTGGGACCAGACTGTCGGTTTCGGAGGGACGGGACAAGAAGCGCTAGGCTACTTGGACTCTATTTAGATCTTATGTGTTATTGCTGATGGAGTGTGGTCAGAGGTACCGTCCTCTGACTGGTGTCTCAGACCGGTTCCGTCCGGCTGAAGAAGCCCTGTACCGTCGGGGCTGGGTGGTGTGATTGGGTGGATTTATGTGAGCACATGTATGTTGCTAGTCTGTGGTATGCTGTTTGTTGGGCAGGTCTGATCTTGTGAACTATTGAATTGTTGTTTGTTTGTGGTTTTGGTCTGTCCTTCCTTTCCCTTTGATGTGGTTTTGTTTGTCACGTTGATGTTTGTTGATTTTCATTTCCTGCGTGTGTCTTGTTTGTGCAATTCCAGTTTTGGCGCAGTCTTTCTTGATGGGTTGCTGTGGGGTACTTCCCCAGTCAAGCGTGGTATTAGTATTGCTTCTTGTTCTCTGTTATGTGCTTTTCAGCTTGAGCACTAGTATGTTGATTGAGCAGTGTTCTGTGTTGTTCTGCTCAGCTCTCTAACTCCTTTTTTCGCTGACAGTTTTGAAGAATGTGTGCTGTTGCTGCTAGCGTAAGGAGGCTTGGATGGATCCTTACGCCGGTAGTGATCGTACAGGTTCTGCGAGTGGTTTTAGTCTGTGTAGTGATTTTTGATTTGATTACCCGGGTCCATAGGTCGGATGACCTGCGACGGACCTCTTCCAGGCTTGCAACCGTGATCACGTATATAATTCTACCGCACTGGTATGGCCACATTGCCGTAGTGTTTTCCCTGGAGAACCCATGCTCCGTTTACATATGGCTGAAGCTCATGAAATACCTGCGGATATTTTTCCCACAGCGTGTCCGTTGTGCATTGCACGTGGAGATCGCATGCCAGTTCAAATCACCAACCCACTAACGTTTAAAAGGCATCGTACAGCGGAACATTTGCGCGATCACCCCGTTATGGTATACATGGAGTAATAAGCATTCGTATCAGCGAGGGGGCAGTTATGCAATCACTCGGACGCCCTGCACGCCTGAAAGCGGCTGTGGAACGTGTGGTACAGTACAACACGCAGTGTTTGCTTGCTTGCAGAGAGAGAGAGTCGCGGGAGAGATGTGTCTTTGTACCCTTGTGCGCATCCTTGTCACACCGTGTTCATGTCTGTTAAATGCCGCGATGCCCAAGCTCTCGCTGTAGGGCGTTCCTTGCGCAATGCCGCGTGGTGACAGCGGTGACAGAGACCGGGACCGTGACCGTGGGCGGGGACGAGCGGACACGAGCTACTAGGTCTGAGGCACGCGAGGACTTTGAGTCTCTACTCACTAAAGTGGAGAAGGTTGAAGACAAGCGTGCGCGCACCTCACACCTAGCACTCCAGGCAAGCAAGGACGCAGGCGAAGTCAGGGCAGCTCACCAGCTTGTGGTGCTTCTCAAAGGACTAGCTCGTGAACACGTTAAAGAAGTCGTCGCAGAGTACCAGGGTGAAAAGGACGCCGTACTGCAAGGACTAAAGGACAAGGGTGCACCTCTCAAACTACGTGTTTACGAGGCTCTGCTCAAAAAACTCGAGGAGGTTGCAACGACCAAGGGGGCGGAGACGGCGGCGGTGGCCAGAGAGCTCTTGGAGTTGGGAACGACCTCGGTCGTCAACTCCTGTCACGAACGGGGCTAAGCCCCCAGAGACTTGGGTTTGCCAGCGAAGGGTAAGGGCCGGGGCTCTGCGGCGACAGGCGTCAAACGACAGTCCGAGTCGCCAGGAGGAGCAAGACGAGCGTCGCGTAGAGTAGCGTGAGTACAGAAACAAGCACTCGCTGAGCACGCGGTTCGTCGAAGCTGTTTTTTCGCTAGAGGTGCACTTCGTCTTTTACAACAGTTTTCCCCGCACCGGTCTCGTCCGGGCATAGCGGAAGGGGTCTCGTCCCCCCGCCCAAGAGCAGGTCTCGCCCTAGCTCAAAAAGTTTCGGCGTGTGACTCGTGCTTGTGTCTTCTCCCCTCCCCTTCTGGTTGTTGTTCCGGTATGGTTTGCTTGTTTTCTTGTGTGTGTCGGACGGTTGTCGTTTTCTTTCGTTTTTCCCCCTTGTTGACGTTACCTTTTTCCCCACCTTTTCAATGTCGTGTTTTTTACGCTGCAGTTTTGAGTCTTGTGACGTTGCTTAAACACTTGTCAAGTGGTGGCTGTGCTTGACATGCTTGTTTTTGCTCCGCCGCAAGGCGCACGGAGATGAAGCCGCGTATGCGGCAAAACATCTACATCCGGCTTGCGATGAACCCCCCGGACTACCACCTCAACGCGGTGGGGGGGGTGGCAACTCCTGCGTTTAGAGTTGTGACTTTTGTTGTTCCTTGTTTTTGTTGTGCGCTTCTTGTTAGGGCTCTCGACTTGTAGGCAGGAGGCTAACGGTAGTAGGGTTAGGACGCTGAACATGGAACCAGGGTCTCCCTAGGGAGACAATCCATGCTAGGCTTCTGGCCAACAGTGCACTCGGGTTGGCTTCCCGTTTGCACTTATTTTCTAGCTACCGCACGGGTTACGAGTACTCGAGCGTTGCCACCGGAGCTCTCCCATCCAACGCCCGGACAGGGGCGGAGACAGCAGGGGCGAAGGTGGCGTAGGGGGCCTAAGCTCAATTGGGGACGTTGGAATGTGCAGAAGTTACACTCTTATCTACATGTTACAAGCTCTGGGGAGGTTACTATCAAGGGGAAGGACCCAACTAAGATCGATAACTTATGTCTGGAGTTGAAGACACACGAGATTAGTCTTTGTGCTATTTCAGAACACAGGTGGAGAGGCGAAGGACAAATTATGGTGGATGATGAATGGTTGTTTCTCTTCTCAGGTATTGAGACCGAGGCGGAAAAGGCAATGCAGGGTGTTGGCTTTTTGTTGAACAGCGACATGCAGAGGGCATGGAAAGACGCGGATCAGTTCTGTGAGTATGGTGGCGGGCGGTTGATGCGGATTAGGCTCTGTGTTAAGGGACGCTTTTTCAGTGTTATTTCGTGTTACGCTCCTACGTTCCGTTGTTTTGACGAGGAGAAGGAGGAGTTTTATGAGGCGCTGGGTGAGATGGTTGACAAGATCCCGCAGAAAGATGAAATAGTTGTTTTGGGCGGCTTTAATGCGCGAGTGGGGTTGGCTAATGAGGACTCATCGGAAGATTAGCCTACGGTGCACGAAATGGTTGGCAGACACGGGTTACCTGAACGTAATGACAATGGAGTCAGGCTTTTGGATTTCTGCGCAAGTCGCAGTAAGAAGCAACTCCGCGTGGCGAGCACTTCCTTTCAGCACAGGGAGTATGGCACGTGGTTTCATCAGTCGTCGAGGCGATGGTTTCAGATTGACCACGTAATTTCTTCCCGCCAAACTCTGGGTCTAATTACGGATGTGCGGGTTATGCCGGGGTATGTGCACAATACGGACCATAGGTTTTTGCGTTTGCAGATGGCGGTGCCACCCAAGGCGATGCTGCAAAAATTTTATGGGTTGTCCATGAAAACAGGCCCTGAAAGTCGTCCTCCCAGGCTTATGGTTGGTGGGTTTCAGGATAACAAGGTGTCTGACGACTTCAATATGCAGTTACATTCACTTATGAGTGAAGGTTTCTTTGATGAAGGTTACCCGCTGTTCGGTCACGCGGTGCGCAAAGTGGCGGAACGTTGTCTTGGCGAGTTACCTAAGCGAGGGGGGCCAGAATGGAAGATAGTGTATGCAGAAGAATTAGCTTGCCTTAGCCAGGAAAAACGTCAGGTGGCTCTGCATGCTCCTGGTGGGTTTATGTCTGAGGCATATAAAGAGAAGTGCAAAGATGTCAAAAAGCAGGTGAGAGGCTTTATTAACAAGTGGTGGGTGGCAAAGGTGTCGGAAATACAAGCGAGGGTGGATGCCAAGGATCACAATTACCAGTTTGCGGGTTACAAGGAGCTGCGGCGTGTTTTGGCGATCGGCAGAAAAAGTCCGTGCAAACTTCGCGATGCTAAGGGCAATCTGATATTAACCAGGTCAGGAAGGATTTGCCGGTGGCGAGAATACTTTAAAGATTTATTGAATGTTCCCACGAATGTTAAGATGTACCAAATGGACAACATTGCCAGTATTGTGCCTGATTTAAGTTTGGACGTCGTACCGAGTTTTGAAGAGACGCTGGCAGCCGTAAGTCGTCTGAAGCCGGGTAGGGCAGCGGGCCCAGACGGAATTGAGGCTGAAATTTTAGGCGCGATGGATGCTACTAACTTGAGAGCTCTACATGAATTTTTTGTTCGCGTATGGACGGGTGTTGATGCTATGCCGGAGGAGTGGAAGGAGGCGTTTTTAGTTCCTTTACCAAAAAAGGGCGACTTAACGCTATGCAAGCGGTGGAGAAGCATTTTGTTGGCGTCCATTCCTGGGAAGGTTTTTACAAGGGTTATTAACGCCAGGCTGGCCCAGTACGCGGAGACGAAAGGACTCCTACGCGAAACTCAGTGTGGCTTTAGACCCGGGCGAGGGACGATGGATATGGTGTTCGCTTTGAAACTGGCTATGGAAATTTCGGACTACAAGAAACATCCCTTTCATGTCCTGTTTGTTGACCTCGTTAAAGCGTACGATTCTGTCTCTCGTGCAGGTGTTTGGGCCGTGCTCAAAAGAAAGGGCGTCCCACCCAGGCTCATTTCGATCCTACGTGAGTACTACTCGGGTAAAAAGGCGAGGATTAGCGTGGAAGGTGGCTTGTCCGAAGAGTTTGATCTGGAAACAGGCCTTGGGCAAGGGTGTTGCGTTGCTCCGCTGCTCTTCAACATTTTCTTGGCTGCTGTTGTTGAGGCTTGGGTTGGGGAGTCTGGTGGAGGGGTACACTGGCTCACACGAATTGGCGGGGCACTGTTACACGGGGAAGTGCAGGGCAAATACTCGTCATGGGAAGCGTTAGATCTTCATGAACTAGGTTATGCTGATGATGCAGCACTTATCGCCGATACGCTTTCGCAACTGCGTGGAGTGGCTAAAGGTTTCCAGCTTCATCTCCGAGAATGGGGTCTTCAATTGTCGGTCGAAAAGACTGAAGCCATGTCGTCTGCTCCGGGCGCGCGTGCACCTATTCCAGTTGAGGAGTTTGAAGGCTTCGACGCTGTTAAGTTCTCCGAGTACTTTGAGTATCTTGGTGTTATCATACAAAGAAACGGCTCGGGTGATATGGCTGTCAAGGAAAGGGTGGAGAAAGCTAGAAAGGCGTTTCGGTCGCTCAATAGTTCTGTGTGGAACGTCCGGCAGTTGTCCCTAAGCGCCAAACTTAGCGTCTACCGCGCTTGTGTTCTGTCTGTTTTATTGTGTGGGGGCGAAGTGTGGACACATACTTACCCGGTGAGGAAAAAACTGGAGAAATTTCACATGATCTGTCTGCGACGGCTTTCGGGGTTGGGGTTGCGATATCAACGGGATCATTCACTATCCAATGATGATCTGCGGGCGTGGCTGGGTGTTCCCTCCATTGCGGATCTTGTCTGCCAACGTCGGCTCAGGTGGCTTGGTCATGTAGGTCGTATGCCGGATCATAGACTCCCCAAGCGTGTTCTGTTTGGTGTTCTCCCTACTGATGTTGGTCAAGCTAGAAAGCCTGGTCTTCAGTCTGGGATATGGTTACGTGACTCCTTTGCCAAGGATCTTACGGCAGCAGGCATTGATCGGCAGGGGTGGTTGCAGTTTGCAAATAGTGGGGAAGGTGCTGCGCTTTGGAAACAAAAAACAGCGGGTGTGGCGTTGTGGCACAAACCGCTGGCGGTTATTCCAAATGTCCCGCCCCCACCTAGAACCCAGCTGCCCAGGGGAAAGGTGTTCCAGTTTAAAAAGAGGGTAGGGCATGAACAACGCTTGACACAAGCTTCTGACCGTCTTCGAAATGAACTGGCGTCAAGAAGTGCGTTCTTGAGGTTGGAACTGGCGTCTGGGGGTCGGGAAGCATTGGCGCGAACGCTGATGACCGAAGTTCGCGAAAGGGTACGCGCAAATCCGGAGGTGGATATGGAGGAGTTGTGTTGCGATTTGGTGGAATGTTTTCAGGGCGCGGAAACGGAGGGTGATCTTGCCATGTTTCGGTTGTTGGTGTCCACTGTTCTACTCTCCCCACAAGCGAACTTGACGGAGTTCTCGCGCTCTCCTTATACCGGTGCCACTCCGCGAAGAGTTTCTAGAAAGATGCGTCCTCCGGCATGGTACGTTAAAAAAACAGGATGATGCCAAGGCTATCTTGGACGGCACTGCGCCGCCTAAGTATTGGAATCTCCGGAATGTGCCTAAGACCACTGATGTTTCTGATGGTGACTACGCCTGTGATTTTCCTGGATGTGGGCGAAGGTATACAACTAAGGGCGGCCTTTCGCACCATAAGTTGATAACGCACAAGGTAGGTACTTTTCGGCAGGCAGGTTTCGATTGTAAGCTCTGTCCGCGTTCTTTCGAGAGGGAAATGTGGCTTACACGTCACGGCATGTTAACTATGATCACGCGCTCGCTATCCCTTTCATGTGCCCGTTCTGTCTAGGTTATTGGCCTGGTGCTCCTAGCCTGAGATCGCATATATAGGTTCGAGGAAAAAGATTTTCCTGCTCCTTGCGCATTGTGCCTCCGAGATCACCAGAGTAGCGAGACTTTCAAGAGTGTGCATCAGTTTAAGTACCACCTCAAACGTTTCCATCTGTAGCGCAGCCTTTGCTCAGCTCTCGTAAGCCGGTAGCATGACGGAGAAGAAGGCGGTTACGACGAGGGTGGATGCTCTGGAGACCCAAGTGCGTAACGTGGCGTGTCTTGCGAGTGCTACTGCAAAGCGGGTTGGGGAGGACAAAGTCCCGAGGCAATGGGTGGCTTTCGTCCAAGGGCCGTGTCGGGCGAAGCTGGAAGAAATCTGTGCGGGATGGAAAGATGGAGCCAGCAGGGCCAGGGAGGGTGTGGCAGCGGCGACGTCCGGCGAGTCCAAAGTCGTGCCGTTCAAGCTGCAGGTCTTCAACCTGTTTGTTGAGCAGTTGGCGGAGCAGGGGCTTGACAAGGAAGTTCTGGGGGGGCTGCGAGGCTTTAGGCCGGAAGACGTCGTCGAGTCGGTGCAAAACAGAGAGCCACCTGAAGACGTTGCGAAGCCGTGGGTTGTTGTGCTTGCTTCTGTTTCGCCCGTCGCGGGGGGGTTTGTCTGTCTCGCAGCTGCTTCGTTCGCCGGCAGTTCTTCAATCGGTGGCCAAGAAAGGTGGAGAGTACCCCCCCCTGGGGTTGCGGCCTGGACGATTCATCTCGGGTGAATACCAACGGAGAGTGCTGGAGGACTTGGGGCACACATCGGATGAGGTTAAGGCCTGGTTTGGTGGAAGGGCTCGGCTGGATCCGGTAAGGGCTCACAGGGGGTGTCCGGGCTTGGCAAGAGGGCTGCGCCTTTCGCTCATTGAAGAGCGGGACAAAAAGCGCTGAGCCTCTTGTCTGATTTTGGCGGTTTATTAGGCTTCGCTGCTGCATTGCTGTGCTTCTGGGGTAGCCAGTGGTTCCGTCCACTGGTTTTCTGAGTTACAGACCGGTGCCGTCCGGCTGTTATGCGTCCTGTACCGTCAGGACTTCCCCACTCACTTTCATAGTTCCAGTCGGACATGGGCAAACACTGGAACTACATCTACTTCAACATGATGACGCCTATTTTTTGCACATCTTGAGACTGGGAGCTTCTCGAATGCTCTGGACCAGAACCTCTGTCAACCGCAAGGAGTTCCGTGGTATACATAATGGTATCGACAAAGGTGCTTCGCTTGCCCTTTTCAAATCCAGATCCCTTTCTGAGTATGACAAAGGGATCCTCAGGTCCATTGTTGCGGGTGCCGTTTATACCCAGCAGTCCTTATTCAAAGCCAAACAGATGGACCACCCTACATGCCCACATTGCTGGAGACAACAAGAAGATCTACTACATCTTTTCTGGTTCTGCCCAGCTTGGGACCACGTTCGCTCCACCACCCTCTCTGCCGAGCAACTTCGCTTTGCACACTCTCTACCGCCATGCACGCTTCGAACCGGCTTTTTTGTCAACACTCCTGCGCAGGCTCACGCCATCGTACAGAACCACCGTGCTCTTTGTGCAGGCCAGCAGGCCGCCCCCCTACCTCTACACACTTGCACCTTCCCGGAGAAGGTCCAGCTTACGATGGTGGAGATAATCAAGGCAAGAAAGGCCGCCGAGCCACTTGAGCCTCCTGATGATTTTGATCCCTCTCAATTTCATCAGAAGCCTTCTCCTGCACCGCCTACGGCTTCGCCTTCATCAAGCGGTGGTCCCAAGAAGCTTCAGCCTCCGGCCCCCAAGCCCTGTATTGCCGCGCCAGAGCACAGCAAACCCAATACAGATGAGCACGGCCTTTTGCTTTCGACCTCTTTGAGGCCTGGCGGATCAAGATACCAGTATGTCCAAAAGAAAAAGAATGACACCTACAAAGCAGTTATTCCACGGGGTGCCAAGCGTCATTCTTTTGGGCCTTTCTCATCGGAAGAAGATGCTGCCAGGGCAGTCAAGGATTTTCTTGAGCGCTGGGATACAGGAGATGCTCCCACCACGAGAGGCGCAAAACGGGAGGAGAAGCATACCAAGTCTATTCAGTTGCAGTTGGATGAGCTCAATGTCAATGCGAAAAAGGAAGGCAGACACAGTATTCCTGACGCTACCGCTCCTACCTGCATCTTTTTTGTCAGTGCAGCGATATTACATCTTACAATTCGCAGCAAAGCAATGTCATGCGATTTCGAGCAAAGCCGACAAGGGTGGCTCCACCACCAGAGCGGATAAGCTTTCCGCTACTCGAACTGCCAAACTCCAACATGACGTTGACGAGCATAACAAGCACGCTGTCGCGAGAGGTAGACACTACATCGAGGACATTTTTCGGCCATCTTGTTTTTACTGCAAGCAGGTGGTTTCCAAAAACTACTGGCGCACATGGATGAAGAAAGACTGCAAATTCAATCACGACTGATGGTATCTCGTTTGCTGGCGGCAACCCTTTGTTCGGTTACGACAGCACCCTAAGGTACTACTACACCGCATCGCCTTGAAGATGGAGCCAAGAATCCGCTCTCTGTTATTTCCATTAAGGTTGCTCATGCCGCTGCCAAGGGAGTTTTCTTGGCTGGCGTCGGGGAATTCGAGTCTTTCCTTGACAGAACCAGCAATTCCTCGTTGGCCATGCTGGTACCACAGACTCCCAAAGTCCGCTCGATTTTGCAATCTCGCGGCGTCGAGTTTGCCGAGCGCCTCGTTGCTCTTTCATGACCCAAACTCCGACATTACGACTCCGAAACCAGTTTTCCTGATCACGCTGGGTGGATCCGTTGCTTTCGCTGAGGCTACACCGGATGCTCAGTTCGAGGCTCCGGTACCTACAGTTGAGGTTGCTATTGACATCGAAATCCATTGCATTGACCCCTGCATGCAGCGGGGAGTTGACAAAAATGCGCGCTACGCATTTAAGCAAATAGTGCACGCTGCCTTTTCAGAACAGATTGTCTCGGAGTGCTACTCTGTTTTTGTTCGTGCTTCGGTCCTGCAGGGCATCATCAAGATCCCAGTCTCTCAATTGATCAATGTCCTACGTCGCCCAGGCCCTGATGGCATCTTTGCTAAAGAGAAGTGGCGGGCGCAACCCGTTCAACTCCCTTTAGCTTTGATCCACCAATCACAGTTGCGCGAGAAGAACTGGGATAATGCAGTCAAAGCTGCTTCTGAGCTCTCCGGCTTCGCTGGAGTCCACCGCAGCGCCACAGGTTCAAAAAGCCTTCGTTTTGACGACAAGGGTATCGCCAAGGCTCGTGAGACATTGTGTGTCTCAGGACTTTATTCTGATGACAACATTAGTGTTGTTGCCACACATTTCTTTCAGGTTCAAGGCATTCCCAGCGGAACCGCTGCTGCGGCGGTCTGTGCCGGCCTGCGTCAGTGGGGATGGACTGTCATCCCTGTCAAAAGTTGGCCGCTGTCCCCCACGCATGCAATCTGGCTTGTTGGTTCGGCCACCGAGCCTCCAGGGAAGTTCCTGGTTTTGCAAGACGTTACTGTCACAGTTGTCAAGGATGGCCCTTCCACCCGCCAGTCCACTACCCCTTCTAAGTCTGTTCCGGTTGACCCCTTGCGGGCCAACGACCCGTGGGCTCGCTTTACCAGGGCTAGTCTTAGCGCGACCCTAACCCCTGCTACTCGCACTGCCCCTGCTTGCCCTAACCCACCCAAGGTCCAAACTGTTGTCGAGTCGCGCGTTGTTGGTGCTGAAAAGCGTCTTGCAGATCAAATGCAGTCCATGCTGACTTCTGCACGCCTTGAGTTTGAAGAGCAACTTGAGAAATTGCGTCAGGACCAAGCCTCTGTGATGCAAACGTCTGGCCCTCAGACGGACGTTGATGCTCGCGTCACCAGTGCAGAGCAGCGCATCGCCGATCAGATGCAGACCACGTTTCAGTCCATGCGTCAGGAGCTTGGGCAGCAGTGTGACACCTTGCGTCAGGAGCAAGCTTCTTCTAGCAAGCTACTTGCTGACACTGTTAGCCATGTGCGCCAAATTGAGGCTAACGTTGTTGGTCAAGTTCAGGACTTGAAAACACAACAACAGGCTGGCGTGGAAGAGCGGTTGCTTGCAGCCATTGCTTCCAGTGGCGCCAAGCCTAGCCCATCCCGCAAAGCTCCCCGTGCCACTTGACCGTGCAATCTCCTACTTTGGATTTCCCATTAGATTGATGCATTCAATTGTTTGGGCCCTGACACCATTTCCCCTAGAATTCGGTTTAGGCCTCCTCCCCCAGTCGGGTTCTTGCCCAGGACACGGGACTAACACTCCACAGTCCAGCAGGCAACGCAACGCTTGCCAGACGGTATCCTTGTCGCACTGCAGGCAGGCCAGTACTCAGAAACACCTTGTCCCAAGGCGGCCTCTTTGGCATGCGTGACTGGGGATGGGTTACCATTCCGGTCAAAAGTTGGCCCCTTGGTGCGTCTAACTGCGTTTGGCTTGTTGGCACTGCTGATGAACCCCCTGGGGAGTTCCTTTGCTTGCATGATACAACCGTTACCATCGTGAAAGATGGTGCTCGGCCTCCCTCTGCACCTACTACTGTCGGTTCTGTCGAGGCTGAAGACCCTTTGCAGGTCAATGACCCTTGGGCTCGTTTCAAGCGCAATCAGATGGCTTCTGTCTCTCCTTCGTTTCAGCCGCCTACGCCTAAAACCTCGCCTCCGGCCCCACCCAAAGTGCAAGCTGTTGTGGAATCCCGCATTGTGGCTGCTGGGACCCGTCTCACTGCACATGTTGATGGTTTGTTTGATGCAAACTCTTCGTCAAGAGTTCTCGCAGCAGATTAATGCAACGCGTGCAGAGTGCAGTAACGCTACTGTTAGTGAGCAAGTCCAGTCCATCCGTCAGGCTTTCGACCAGGAGTGTGAGAAGTCTCGTGCTGCACAGACTGTGGTTGAGCAACAACTTAAGGAAACTGCCGCGTATGTTAAAAAGCTTGAATCGGGTTTTGTTGAACAGGTGCAAGAACTGAAGCAACAGCAAAAAGGCATGGAGGAGAGGTTGATCGAGGCGATCTCTGCTTCTGCAAAAGCAAGCCCTGCCCGCAAAGCCCCTCGCTCCTGACTGTCTGACCGTGTTTGCTGCCGTCTCTCTCGTGGCATGCGCGCTGCCAGGCGCATCACTTGTATGTGTTGCCTTTTCTCACTTTTGCGTCCTGTCGCATCTGCTTCTCCTTCGCTGAGGCCCGTTCCTCAACGCGCCTGCCTTCGCGAATGTGGGCGGCGGTGCGGTTTCAAGTCCCGCGTGCCTTGGTCCAGACTTGTTTTGGCCCAATGTTTTCCTCAGACGTTGCCGCTGATGGTCCGCAGCTGTCTATCCTTTCGGCTAATGTGACCTCCATGCGAAAATTTTTTGCAATAATCCGCGGCATTGATTCTTCATACAGCTTTCTACAAGAAACTACCTTGAATGTCCATGGCCAGTCGTCCAAGCGCAAAGTGTTGCATCGAACTGGCTACGATGCCTTGTTTGGGCCGCCGTGCGGCTTTAAGCTTAGTGGGAGTCAATTTCAGCACACTGTGTGGAACTCAATGTCAGGAGGCTTAGCCACTGTTGCTCGGCAACCTTTGCCGTGCAAGAGCATCGTCTCCACACTTCCAGTTTTCACTTCAGGCAAATGCACTTTGACATGGATCCCCAGTGGCATCCATGTCAAAAACTGAAATAATTTCATTGGGGGATGTCCCAGTCCTCGCCGTCGGCGACTTCCAAACCATTCCTAGCCAATCACATGCTCTTGGCCAGGCGGTTGCTTCAGGTGTGCTCTGTGATCTTGGTGCGCTTTACACTGATAGTCATGCAGTGGACCTATCAGCAAGGCAACAATGTCAACGTGCGCACGCGCATTGATCTAGCACTCTGCAACCATGCCTTCTTGTCCTATGTTTCTTCGTTGGCCATCTTACGCAACACTGGCCTGCCTGGCCACTGTCCTTTGCTTTTGAAAATCAACTTCCCGGAGTATGTTGATCGTAAGTTTGTCTATCGCGCCCCTCATGCTTTCAGAGACCTCTCGCCTCCAACCCCTGACCAATGCTGCAGGTTTGATGCCTTGCACTGGCCTGAGCACTTGCGTTCCTCCATCCGTGAGGCTTTGCAGAGAGGTGATGTTGACGCCGCCTTCAACTTGTGGACAACACATGCTGAGCGTTTCTGTGCTTCGGATGCTTCATCACAGCACATAAGTGTTACTCGTAGACATTTTGGTCGTGGTCAAGAGCCTAAGGTTGTTCAGACTCCGGTGCAGGCGCCTCCTGCCACCCGTGAGCATGGCGCCGCTGACAATCGGCTTGCATCCGCCGGCTTAAGTTGGAAAGAAAGTTTTCTCAGCTGTGCACTAAATTGCGCTCTCATGTTTCCGCTGGCACTTCTGCTCATGAGTAGCTTCTCAATTTATGTGCCAACGTCCAGCAGACTTGGAATCGTTTGTATCCTAGTGAGCCTATCGACTGTGTATCTTCCATGCCGGATTCTCGTGAGGTTGGTGCCTTGCGTGACTCTTTTGGCAAGCGTATCACCTCATACCAGCAGTCTCTGCGTGACCATCGTATTGATCAGCATAAGTCTCGTCTCATCCAAGACTGGGATGGCAATCGCAAACTCACCTATGCGTGGGTTCGAGATGCTGAGCCCTACGTCACCCCTTGTTTTAAAAATGAGCAAAAAGAACACGAGTTCATTACGAAACATGCAGAGTTGCATGAGATGATGCTCAAAGAATGGGCTCCCATTTTCAATCGCTATCTTGAGTGCCCGGCTCCTCAACACTCTGATTTCATTGAGTCTTTTCCTGACTGCCTTCCAACTTCGCGTGAACACACCGCTGAGAACCCCTTTGCACTACCTCCTCTCAGCTGCGAAATGGTCTCGGAATCTCTGCTTTTCCAAACGCAGGGCTTGGCTTGCTAATTTAAGGGCCACTACAAGGAGACGCCCCCCAAGTTAT